GGGTTTTGGGGTTGGGGGGGTTTTGTGAAAAAAGTGTTTTCCTTGAGGGCCCAAAAAGCTAAATTTTAGTTCATCAAAAAGCAGAACCTTTTTCCATATGTTGGGGGAGTCTCCCCCATCCCTTTTGGGAAACCAAAGTGTTTGCTTATTTTTTTTAAAGTTTGGGCTTTTTCTGGCCATTTTCCGTAAACCCCAGTCTGTGGAGTGTAGGGTTTAAAAAGGGTCCTATGGCGATACTCAATCCCCCTTTGGGGAGCTTTGAGCTCCTTGGGGTTATCTTTGGCCCTTTTTGGCCCTTTGATTAAGCCCCCCTTCCCGTTCCCGAGTTTTGGGGGGGACCCCTTTTTGGGAAGGTTTTTTGTGGTGCCATATTTTTTAAATTTTTTAATAAGGATTTAAGGGGCTCCGGGGATGTTCAAAGTTTTCAGTTTTTTTTAAAAACCCAACCCTTGTATGTATTCTCCAAAATTTGTCCCTGACCTGTTTGGGGGGGTCCGGTTTCATGGGCCTCTTGTGGTGGTCCCCCTTGTTTATGGTTTTGCGACTCGGGGGCCTTTCGAAAGGTGTATTATACTGGATCATGTGAAGATCATGGACACTTAGATTGCAACAGGTGGACTTTATTTAAAAAATTAGTGACTTTGAAGGTAAAATTGGGTTTCACCCGATCATTAGGGGGTCATGCAAAGGGGGGGAAAACAAGCACCCCCCATTTCGGTTTTTTATTTTTCATTTTTTTTTTATTTTTTTTATTTCATTTACCAATTTTGGCCCATTTTTGTGTTTCCCATTACATGAAATCCCAAAAAAAATCTATTTAAAAACAGGTTTTAAAGCAAAAAATAGGAAAAAACGCCAAGGGGGTGTAACTTTTTCAAGGCACGAGTAACCTTATAGAAGCCCCCTTTTGTATGCTGCAAATGAAAACATCCTTAGATATAGGGGTGTCTTCTCGTTCTCTCTGTTCTCTCGTCTCTCTCTGCGCTCTCTGTCTCTCTCGTCGCTCTTTGTCCTCTCGTCTCTCTCGTCTCTCTTGTCGCTCTTGTTTCTCTGTCTCTCTTGTCGTTTTTTCCATTTTTCTGTTTTCTGCTCTCTTTTTCTCTTCTGCGCTCTTGTCCTTTTTCTCTGCTTCTTGTCGTCTTGTGCCCCTGTCCTTTTTGTCTCTTCGTTTCTCTGTCGCTTCCCGTCCTCTCTGCTTCTCTTCGTCTCTCGTTCTCTTGTCTTCTCTGTCTCTTTCGTTCTCTTGCGCCCCGTCTCTCTGTCTCTCTGTCTTTCGTCTCTCTCGTCACCTCTTCTCTCGTTTTTGTCTCTCTTGTCTCTCTCTGTCTTCTCTGTGTTTTGTCTTCTCGTCTCCTCTGGTTTTCGTTCCCCTCTGTTCTCTCTCCTCTTTTGTCTCTCTCTGTCGCTCTCTGTTTTTCTGTCTCTCTTGTTCTCTTGTCTCTCTCTGTCGTCCTTTTCTCTCTGTCCCTTGTTCCCCTCTGTCTTTCTGTTCCTCTGTCTTCTTTCGTCTTTGCTCTTCTGTTCTTGTCTCCTTTGTCTCTCTCGTTTTCTCTGCGTCTCTGCGTCCCCTTTTTTCTTGTCGTTTTCTGCTTCTTGTCGTCTCTCTGTCTTCTCTCTCTCTCTCTGTCTCTCTGTCTCTCTCTGTCCTCTGTGTTTCATATCTTCTTCCCATCAGTTGTCTCCTGCGCTCTCCAACCATGAGAGGCAAGCCTCAGCATCACACATGGACTCGCTGAACAACAAGGTTTTTTTTGTATTTCTGTGTGTCTTCCCATTTTTGTATTAAGATATGCTATATTCTGTGTAGAATGTGGATCTGTGTAGCATAGCATTTGACGTTAGAATGTAGAACAGCTTGGCAACTCTATGTTGTATACTAGAACATAGAGTTGGCTAGAGGGCACATCAGGGATGCTAAAACAGGTGCATATTCTATCCAACTCTATGCACTAGACACATGTGCTGGTAGTCGTGGGTTGTTGTGTCATGTCTAGTATGTGTTGTTGATTCCCATGTGTTTTTCCTCATAGCAACAGAACTATACCTAATAGTCTGTACTCTGTACATGGTGTGTATTCCCCGTTTGGCCTGTATATAGGTGCCAGAGAGCCACAGTGGGCTGTTCCTTAGTCTCTCCCCCGCCAACCCCTTCACCCCTACTCCCTTTAAGGTTTGTTACACCTGTGTGTGTGTGTGTGTGTGTGTGAGTCAGTGTGTCTGTGTCACCCTAACCATAACCCCAAAACAGACCCTTTTATTCACATAGTGCTCTTATACAGCATCTCACTAACACTAATACATACCTGTCTGCATGTGTATATATGGGGGGCATGTTTGTTTTGAACACACCCTGTATTCCTGTGTTTTTTCCCTGCATCTTCAGCCAACAGCCAATAGGACGGCCAGGAGAAGACCCATAACTGTCGTCTCTGCACCAATCACACTGCGAGACACGGAAGACGAATGCTGGAGTGGGTTACGCGTGCACGCACCCACACACACACACACACATGCACATGCACATCATTATAGGCCTGCCAGAAACAACCAATATCCCCCTAGACACAGTGGAGATAGGAAGGGATTGAACAAGCATAAAGCAATATGGCGATAATTCCAAAGGTGGCGCTATTACCACGATGTTTAAATCTACCCAGTCCTCTCATACCTCCACAAGTGTATAAGAGTTGTTTCTGGACACGGCCTTCATTTCCCACTTTAACCCTTTGTCGTCTTTCGTTCTCTCTCTCTCTCTTTCTCTACATCTCTGCTGTTTTCTCTGTTTTCTTCTCCTCCCTCACAGAGAAGATGATGTCCAGGTATGGCAGTCTGCCAGGTGAGCTCCATATGATAGAGCTGGAGAAGAGTCCCAGGGGAGTCACTAGCACTGATGCCCGGGGCCAGGGTCTGGTTCCTGGTCTGGGTCTCAGCCTGACAGAGGACAGGGATGGGTCCAGAGCCCACCTCGGTGTCTACGTGGCTGGGGTCGACCCCCAGGGGGCAGCGGGGCGAGACGGACGGATACGGGTGGGGGACGAGCTACTGGAGGTGAGTCAGTGTGTGTGTCAGAGAGAGAAAGAGACACCCACACTTCAGGTGGGAGTATGCCCCCTTTCAGTTTGTTTTACTGACTCGTAGAAGTAGAAAGTTGAATGGAGACAGCCCTGAATGGAGCTGCCCATGCTGTCACAGAAGACATTATGGCCCATATACAAAGAAGTACCCTCTATCCACCTCTATGATGGCCAGGTACGAAGAAGGACCCTCTATCCACCTCTATGATGGCCAGATACAAAGAAGTACCCTCTATCCACCTCTATGATGGCCAGGTACGAAGAAGGACCCTCTATCCACCTCTATGATGGCCAGGTACAAAGAAGGACCCTCTATCCACCTCTATGATGGCCAGATACAAAGAAGTACCCTCTATCCACCTCTATGATGGCCAGGTACAAAGAAGTACCCTCTATCCACCTCTATGATGGCCAGGTACAAAGAAGGTCCCTCTATCCACCTCTATGATGGCCAGGTACAAAGAAGGACCCTCTATCCACCTCTATGATGGCCAGATACAAAGAAGGTCCCTCTATCCACCTCTATGATGGCCAGATACAAAGAAGGTCCCTCTATCCACCTCTATGATGGCCAGGTACAAAGAAGGTCCCTCTATCCACCTCTATGATGGCCAGGTACAAAGAAGGTCCCTCTATCCACCTCTATGATGGCCAGGTACAAAGAAGGACCCTCTATCCACCTCTATGATGGCCAGGTACAAAGAAGGACCCTCTATCCACCTCTATGATGGCCAGTTACAAAGAAGGACTCTCTATCCACCTCTATGATGGCCAGGTGCAAAGAAGGACCCTCTATCCACCTCTATGATGGCCAGGTACAAAGGACCCTCTATCCACCTCTATGATGGCCAGGTGCAAAAAAGGACTCTCTATCCACCTCTATGATTAAATCCCACCAACCCCCCATACCCCCTTTTTCTCCCCAATTTCTAGTTACAGTCTTGTCCCGTTGCTGCAACTCCCCTACGGACTTGGGAGAGACGAAGGTCGAGAGCCATGCGTCCTCCGAAACACGACCCTGCCAAGCTTCACTGCTTCTTGACGCACTGCTCGCCTAACCCGGAAGACAGCCGCAACAATGTGTCAGAGGAAACACCGTCCAGCTGGCGACCGAAGTCAGTTTGCAGGCGCTCGGCTCGCCACAAGGAGTCACTAGAGAGCGACGGGACAAGGAAATCCCGGTCGGACCAAACCCTCCCCTAACCCAGACGACGCTGGTCCAATTGAGCGTCGCCTCATTGGTCTCCTGATCACGGCCGGCTGTGACACAGCCTGGGATCGAACCCGGGTCTGTGGTGAAGCCTCAAGCGCTGCGATGCAGTGCCTTAGACCGCTGCGTCACTCGGGAGGCCCCGTTCGCCCCGTATAAACTATAGTATAGCAATATATATAACGTAGTAGTAATGTATAGTATTGTATAACGTATAGTAATATAGTATTTCGTATAGTAATACATTGTGATTGTTTGTAGATCAACGGTCAGATCCTGTATGGTCGTAGTCACCAGAACGCTACAGCCATCCTCAACAGTGCTCCTTCTAAAGTCCAGATCATCCTCACCAGGTATGGTATAGGACCACACACTTCACAGGAAATGGGAATACACTGCACGCTGTTGAGATGCCCCTTTTTGAGGTTTCATTTAGAAAGGTTTTGTATCAAACGTATCAAAACCATATCAAAATAATTTGACTGGTGTTATTCATGTGTTTTTACTACGCTTTAAATATAGTAACTATTATAGATTTTACTCATTATCAAATGCGGTGAACATTAATCAATTTTGACCACCAATTACTTAATTCTATTTCCAAGATGGCGACTTTGATGTCTAATACAGATGTTATTGTTTTGATCAGGAATAAAGCCGCTCTGACGCAGACGGCTCAAGGACCCATGGGAGGGGACTCTCCTCTTCCTCCCTCTATCCCTCCATCTCTCTCTCCTCTTTTCTCCATCCCTCCATCCCTGTCTCTTCCTCCCATCCCCCCAATCCTCTCCACTCCTCCGTCGGCACTGCCAGGAACGCCTCCTCCTCCAGCGGGCAATCTGATTGGCCAACGGGCCCTGACCTCCTGAGTTGTCCCATAATACCCGGAGTTGACAGCACCATCGAGATCTGTAAAGGACACTTGGGCCTGGGCCTCAGCATCGTGGGGGGTTGTGACACGCTACTGGTAAGAGAGAGAGAGAGAGAGAGAGAGAGAGAGAGAGAGAGAGAGAGGAGAGAGAGAGAGAGAGAGAGAGAGAGAGAGAGAGAGGAGAGAGAGAGAGAGAGAGAGAGAGAGAGAGAGAGAGAGAGAGAAAGCGAGGAGAGAGAGAGGAGAGAGAGAGAGGAGAGAGAGAGAGAGAGAGAGAGAGAGAAAGCAAGAGAGAGAGAGAGAGAGAGAGAGAGAGAGAGAGAGAGCGAGAGAGAGAGAGGGAGGAGAAAGCGAGAGAGAGAGAGGAGAGAGGGTTAATGTCTCTCTCTCCTCCCCAGGGGGCCATAATATCCATGAGGTTAATGATCTCCTCTTTTCCCACCAGGGGCCAATAATCCATGAGGTTATGATCCCCTCTTTCCCCACCAGGGGGGCCATAATTAAATTTCCCTGGTTAATGATCTCTCTTCCACCACCAGGGGGCCATAATAACCATAGGTTAATGATCTTCTCTCCTCCACCAGGGGCCATAATAATCCATGAGGTTAATGATTTTCTCTTCCTCCACCAGGGGCCATAATAATCCATGAGGTTAATGATCTCTCTCTCCTCCACCAGGGGGGGCCCTAATAATCCATGAGGTTAATGATCTCTTTTCTCCTCCACCAGGGGGCCATATAATCATGAGGTTTTAATATCTCTCTCCCTCACCCGGGGGCCATAATAATCCATGAGGTTAATGATCTCTCTTTCCACCAGGGGGGCCAAATAATCCATGAGGTTAAGATCTCTCTCTCCCCACCGGGGGCCATAATAATCCATGAGGTTAATGATCTCTCTCTCTCCCAGGGGCCATAATAACCATGAGGTTAATGATCTCTCTCTCCTCCACCAGGGGGCCAAAAAACCATAGGTTATGATTTTTCTCTCCTCCACAGGGGGGCCATAATAATCCATGAGGTTAATGATCTCTCTTCTCCACCAGGGGGCCATAATAATCCATGAGGTTAATGATCTCTTCCTTTCCCCCACCAGGGGGCCATAATATCCCTGAGGTTAATGATCTCTCTCTCCCACCAGGGGGCCATAATAATCCATGAGGTTAATGATCTCTCTCTCCTCCCAAAGGGGGGCCCTAATAATCCATGAGGTTAATGATTTTCTTTTCTCCTCCACCAGGGGGCCATAATAATCCATGAGGTTAATGATCTCTCTCTTCTCCACCAGGGGGCCATAATAATCCATGAGGTTAATGATCTCTCTCTCCTCCACCAGGGGGCCATAATAATCCATGAGGTTAATGATCTCTCTCTCCTCCACCAGGGGGCCATAATAATCCATGAGGTTAATGATCTCTCTTCCTCCACCAGGGGCAAAAATCCCGAGGTTAATGATCTTCTTCCCACCAGGGGGCCATAATAATCATGAGGTTATGACTCTCTCTCCTCCACCCAGGGGGCCCTAATAATCCATGAGGTTTAAAGATCTCTCTCTCCTCCACCGGGGGCCATAAAATCCCTGGGTTTAAGGGTCCTTTTTCCTCCCAGGGGGCCATAATAATCCAGGGGTTTTTGATCTCTTTCCTCCACCAGGGGGCCCTAATAATCCCTGAGGTTTTTAAAGATCTCTCTCCCCCCAGGGGGCCCTAAAATCCGAGGTTTAAAATCTCTCTTCCACCCGGGGGCCATAATAAACATGAGGTTAATGTCTCCTCTCCTCCACCAGGGGGCCTAAAAATCCATGAGGTTTAAAGATGGGGGCAGCCCGAGAAGGGGGGTGTGGGGGAGACCAGGTGCTGAGGTGTGGCTACCCCCACCCCACCCACACAACACACAAAACACACACCACACACACGGGGGTACACACCCACACACCAGGCGGGGGAAAATAGACTACACCCACATGGGGTTTTTACACACAACAACCCCACTGGGGTTCAAAAACACAACCGGGGGCGGGAGGAATTAGAAGTTGGTTGAGGGTTTGGGTTAAAAAGGGTATGGGGATTTGGGTATGGTTTTTAAAAGGTTGGTTTTTTGAGGTTGGTTATATTGAGGTTTGGTTTTATTAGAGGTAGGGGTTTAGAGGTATGGTAATTTTGAGGTAGGTATATTAGAGTTTTTTGGTTTAATAGAGGTTTTGGGTTTTTTAAAAAGGGATGGTTATATTAGAGGGATTGGGTTTTATTGAGGTAGGATATTAGAGGTATGGTTTTATTTGAGGGTTTTTGGTTTATTGAGGTATGGTTTTATTAGAGGTATGGTAATTAGGGTTTATATTGGGGTTATGTTATATTAGAGGTATGGTTTAAATTTAGGGGTTTTATATTAGAGGTAGGGGTTTTTTAGGGGGATGGTATATAGAGGATGGTTATATTGAGGTATGGTTTTTAAGAGGTTTATTAGGGTTTAATTAGAGGTAGGGTTTAAATTTAGAGGATGGTTATATTAGAGGTTTTATTAGAGGGGGTTATTTTGGGGAGGTTTATTAGAGGTTTATTTTAGAGGTAGGTTTTATTTAGGGTTTATGGGTTATATTAAGGTTGGTTAATTAGGGTTTTTTAGAGGTATGGTTTATTAGAGGTATGTTATTTAGAGGAGGTTTATTAGGGTATGGTTAATTAGGGGTTATTTTAGAGGTTGGTTTATTGGGGTTTGGTTTATTTAGGTTTTATATGGATTTGGGTAGGTTTTTTTAGGGGGTTGGTTTTAGAGTTTTTTTTTTTTTGGGTTTTTTGGAGGTAGGTTTTATATTAGAGGTTTATTGGGTTTTATTTTAGGGGTAGGGTTTATATTAGGGTATGGTTATTTAGGGTTATTTGGGGATTAGGGGGTATGGTTATTTTGGGGAGGTTATATTTAGGGGTTGGTATATTGAGTATGGTTTATTAGAGGTTATTTAGGAGGTTTTATTGGTTAAAAATTAAGAGGTTGGTTATTAAAATAAAGGGGGGGGGTTTATTAGGGGAAAAAAATAAACCCAGGTTTCCACATCTGTAAGGTTTTCGCAAATGGTAAAAAAGCCCATCACTAATGCTGATACCCGTCCAGACCCTTTTAGACATGGTTACATTGAGGGGGGGAAAGGGGGGGGGGGGGGGAGGGACAGGCGGGGGAAAAAGGGGAGGGGAGGGAGAGGAAAGGAAAAAGAAAAACAAGAGCCCGGGAGAGGAAAAAGGAAGAAAAAGGGGGGAGAGATGGGAAAGGAAACGGGGGGCAGGGGGGAAAAGGGGGAAAAAAAGGGGGAGGGAGGGAGGGAAAACAAAAAGGGGAATTTTTTTTCTTCTCCTTCCCCTCTCTCTTCTTCCTTTTCTCTCTCTCCTTCTCCCCCCAGGTGGTATAGACCTGGGCCAGGCCACCCATGAGGAGGCTATAGGGGTGTTGAGGCTGACCCCTCAGAGGGTGCGTCTCACGGTGTTCAGACACCAGGAGTACAGGGAGGAGGACCTGTGGGACGTCTTCCAGCTGGAGCTCAGACCACAACCTGGACAGACCCTGGGGCTCAGCACTGTAGGGAAGAGGTAGGGGACTGCTTTTCAACTGATTTTTAGCTGTACACTGGTTCTCAACTATCTACTGATTTTCAGCTCGTCCACTGGTTCTCAACTATCTACTGGTTTTTAGCTCTCCACTGGTTCTCAACTGTCAACTGGTTTTCAGCTGTCCACTGGTTCTCAACTGTCAACTGGTTTTCAACTATCTAATGGTTTTCAACTGGTTTTCAACTGTCAACTGGTTTTCAGCTGTCAGCTGGTTTTCAACAGTCATAAATGTTATTCTGTTGACTTCTTGATGTTTCCACTAGCAACGACACAGGTGTGTTTGTGTCTGAGATCATTCGAGGGGGTGTGGCTGATGGAGACGGTCGGCTGTTTCTAGGAGACCAGATCCTGTCAGTCAACAGAGAGGATGTCAGAACAGCTACACAGGAACACGTTACCTCACTGTTACAGGTGGGATACACACACACACACACACACACACACACACACACACACACACACACACACACACACACACACACACACAC